GAGAAGAAGGCGCAGCTCGCCGTGGGGGTTTTTGTGTAATCCTCAACACTGCGTCATGGATTTTTTTGTTGCAAGTCTGTTAGGCAGCGTTCAGACTTCGCGACGGCAGCGCTTCGGTCGCGCGTTCGACGCGATCGATGCAGTCGAAAGCATGCGCATCGATCGTCGAATCGCGCGACCGAAGCGCTGCCGTCGCGAAGTCTGAACGCTGCCTTATTCTTCATGACTTCACGCCAATTTTAACCGCTGTGTTTGACTGCGATTACGAAGCTATATTTCTGAAAAAAACTTACTTCCGAAGTTTCACAGTATGGCAGTCATAATGCACTTCGAATAAGGCCTCATCAGTTACAATCAACTCCGTCAGATACCGTATCTGTAGGGTGCAGACGAGCAGCGTAAATGCCGTTGCCGGGCAGTGCAGTCGACAGCATCAAGCAATGGCGAGCGCCGTAGCTCTCTTGCCAAGAACTTACAAATGGAGTGATTAAGCCCTGGGACTGCGCACCCTCCCCCCCCCCAACCTGGTGGGTAGGGGTATGTGACAAGAGAATCGTAATTCACCGCGCTGGTGGGCGTCGCGTGCGACGTCGCGCCCGCAAATGACGATGGTTCCAGGTAGTAGATGGCGACAACAGGCAATTCAGAACCGAAAATAGTCATGAATGTCTACGATGACGGGGTACATGAAGTCCGGTGCTCCAATCGACAGGTTAACACGAGTTAAGAAAACGCCGCGCCCATCGCCGCGCGGCGGAGCGGCAAATTACGATTCTCTTGCCCGTCTCTCGGTGTGTAGAAAGAATAAAACTTACCAGATAGATATATAGTGCGTTTCTAATTTCTGATCGATCACAGTGAACTAGTTACTCATTTGGAATCATTTACTATGCGAATATGTCTAATAGGCAGTATCACAGCTTCCCAGCATCACAAAAAAAACAAGAATTTAGCCAGAAGTGTGGTCACTTCCCCAAGGCGAAAATGCACATACACTCTACTTCGCTGCGGACGGTTGGGCGTGTCAGCCAGTATGAGTGTGCACAGCGTCAAAGCCGTTCTCTGCCTTCTTGTTGAAGCGCGCATGCGACAAAAAGTGGTAGAAAACGAGTAATAATCGATATACAGTCATATCATTTGCTCGCTTTAAAACTGGTGGAGAACGGGTTTGGCACCGCGCCAAACGCAGCCGCACTGACACGCCCAACCGTCCGCAGAGAACTACACTATACGTGCGAGCTATAACCTAGGATATAGTTTTACTGCGTTGTACATCCGCTATTTGAACCTCCGCTTTCGATGAAGAGCGTTCAACAGTGAAATTCGATTCCTCGTACTGTAAACGAAGTTTTGTGTAGCGGCTGTCACTCATTGTCAGAGCAGAGAACGTTTGAGCTCAAGCTGTTGAACTCTGCAATCTATGAACTACTTGACGTTCTGGTCCGGATAAACACGACGGAAACTAAAAACACTTCCCCCATTGATTGGTAAAGTGCGCTTGGATTGGGACACTGAAGAGTGGGAGAGCAGGAGATTTGAATACGATGCGCAGAAGGAAGTGTGAGTATTGTTCTGCCTAATCAGGACAACAAGGGTATCAGAGAAGGCGCAAATCGGGAGAATGCGAGCCAAAAAAGTAAAGGGGGATAGGTCTGTTCTTTTACTGTCCTCTAATGTCGTAAAGTATGAACCCGGACTTAAAGGCAAATTGTGCTCTCACCTCCGAGGGCGGTTCTTGCCAAGTGCCGAGCGAATGGGTGCGAAACTGCACTAGCGTGCCATTTTCCCAGCTCAAAGGTGCACGCCAACGAGACTGTAGGGTAGTGGCGCCCGAGTGACGTTTCCATAGTCCGCCCGCGCTACCGTGTATGCGCAGCACTTGCGTTCAGAATCCTGCAGCTAAACACGCCCTCAGCGGTAGAGAACAAGCAGAAGTGAGAAGGCGCAGACAAGCAGCTCATTTGGCTATGGTCAGGCGTGTGGCTGGCGTTGCGGCAGTGCGGACGGAGTATGGAGACTGCACCCGGCCATCATTACCCTCCAGTTCTGTTCCCGTGCACTTTCGAGGTAGTGGCACACAATGCAGCTGTTAGTCCATTTACTTCCATACACGAGGAGGACCAGGACCCATCATACGATTCAGCACTGGAGAACTGTAGAATGTAAAAAGGGTTGGGTGCGTATCGGTCACGTTCGAGCATGCGTCGCGGAGTCCACTACGGGGAGGGTCGTATCTGTCTTCCCTCGGGATGCGAGGGGTCGTGTTTGCAGAGGTCAGTACTGAACACATTGGCGACGTAGCTTGCAGGATGGGTGATGCGTTCGAAAGGAAGTCGAGTACATGGCGCATTCCATAGAGGGGATCAGCACCTCTGTGCTGCAGTTCTTGTTCATGAGGAGAAGATGTACGGGAAATCCTAGTGAGCTTTCTGGATGATAATGTGGGCTTTATAGGTGGGTGATATTGCAGCTGAAGCTGACTTTTGGAGCTAGTCCGCGACGGGCGAATTTGCTGTCCTCACGCTACAGTAGAGGTTCACTTTAGAAAGAGAAAACCTAGTCTCCAACATTGAAAGGTATAAAACTCGAGTCCACCGAAAAATCCTCCGTATTAGTTTTGACATTACTGGGACGGGCGATTTTTGCTGTAATTGAGCTATTAAAAAGGTTGCACTCGTTGAAAAGAGAAAATCTTCTGGTTTTCAAAACCTAAAGGTTTTCATTCTCGGACATATTGTACGGACATCTAATTCGAGCGCAAAATGCATCAATTTCAGCGAAGTGCTCAGCTTGTCTGGATACCATGAATAGATGTCAGCCTTTGCTTCGGATTCTTCGCGAGGCTGTCAAAGTGACCTTTCAATTTGTAAGTGAATTTTGGAGCAGTAAAATAATCTTTCTCCATTTGAAATCTCGCACGTGCATTCGTTGCCAATAACGATTCTCTTGCTCACCACTTGAAAAGTTCGCGCTAGTTCTAATGGGACTTTGTCATTTTCCATTCGAGGTTATCAAGTTTGCGATTGGAAAGTCATCGTCTTCCCTCTTTTTTGCGGAGGGGGGGGTCGCCACCAATCGAGAACTAATTTCAGCTGTCACGGAATAGTAATGGCAGAGTACGCGGGGGCGCCAACGGAGCGGGAAGGGGAAAGGTATGCTGGAAAATTCAACCATGAGAAAAATTTATCGCGGCTTGGAACAAATTACTAGTAAGCCCTCTCTAGTGGTCAAAAGCGACCGCCTGATAGGACTTCTCAACCGATGCTATACCCTGGTTCCGGCTCACCCTCGTCGTTAAGGGCCTAGAATTATCCATCAGGACATCAGATAAACAAGGTCTGCTACTGCTGGGCTCAGGATCGGTTAATAACAGATTCCGCGACAATTGGATAGGCGGGGACTCACAAACAATGAAGAGGGCTGAGAGGTTATAGGTCACTGCCCATCGGATTATTGCGGGAAACGTTTGTAATCTTTAAGGCAGTTGGCACGATAAATCCCTAAAGACGAGTAGGATTAATACGCCTGGCAGGACGGAATTCCGCACCCCTGAGCAGGCGCTGCGTAGCGCCTTTCCCAAGGAAGGTACCCTTATAAGGATCCTATCTGCCACAACATACCGACCCGGAAGCGCACCGACCGCGCCCGCCCGCCCACAGATGGACGACTGTACCTGACGTCGAATTCAAGATTGCTTTCATTCGCGGAAGTGAAATAGAGGGATTGAAATGAGCGCTGGTGCTGCATGGATGTATGAGTACAATCGTGCCGCGTGTCCACCGTAGGCAGTATGCGCTACAGCATCCAAATTCTTTCTGAGTTATAAAACGAAGGCTTTTCTTCAGCAGGTTTTGACCGCTTCCTTGTTTTTTTTTCACTCATTCCCCTCTATCAGCATCGCTGTGCTGCACTTAGAACCGCGTACCTAAAATGTCGCGTGCCATATGCCTTGAATCTCTCGTCGTATCGTCGCATTGCCATCAGACCTCTGTATACGCTCTGATTGAGTCATCAGTTCGTCATGGAGTTGAGATAGCGTTTTTGGCAAAACGCTATCTTTCTCGACTGACCGAAGCCGACCGAAGCAGCCAGGGTACCCTCATGCTCCCTTCAAATGATAGCGTTTGTAGGGTCTGAGGGTTTGTAGGGTCCCTAGTCTAGTAGGGCGCCCACCAATGATCACCATCGTGTGCTCGGTTATTTTGTGGGAAGGACTTATCGGAAAAGGTTGGAACTGCCCTTTCGTTTGGTTGCAAGTTATAGACCCTCCTCTTGATTCTCGAAAATGACTAACCTGAAGCCTGAATAACAGGCCGTGTGGCATATCTCGTTGAAGTAGTACGGTGGCATCGTATCTCAGAGAAAATGGAAGCTCTGGCCCGTCCGTTCAGAGATTAAAGTTTAACGCAGTCATCGATGATTCTCTTCTTTTCCTATGAGTCGGTGCTATAGGCGTTGGGAGGGCCAGTTCGCCATTCTTCTTCAGGGTTACAGTAGCCTGCAATTTCTAGAGGGACTGCCCTGAAGTGTGTGAACAACTCAGAATGAGAAAAGTTGGGTTGTGCAAGAGAGAGGGCGCAGTAGAGAATGAGAAAAGTTGGGTTGTGCAAGAGAGAGGGCGCAGTAGTGACTAGTTCACCTGGGTGCAGTTTGACGAGGGGGGGGCATTTTGCACTTTCGCTACTTCCCATCGACGTGTCGACCTATCTAGGCAGCCTCTTCTCGAGTTGACAGGTTTTACCATGATGGCTAGATGAGCTTGCTCCAGCTTCACAGAGTTCACAGGTTTTTTCTCAGGCAGAGTGAGATTTGTAAATCGGAACTAGGGAAATAATGATAGTACAAAATGCCCCCCCCCCCGCCCGTCGTTAAACTGCGCCGTTCACCTGCCCTAGAGAGCTTCAAGACTACTGCAGCCTCAGAGAAAAATTGTGGATCGGGCCCCTCCTAGGCAATGGCGCCCTGATTATGGTACTATAAAGCTCTTGCAATCATCGGAAATGTTAATGTATCACATTTTGCAGAGGCACTTTACACCGACGACAAAGCGCATCGTGGGAGCAGGTTTATCGTCATCGTTTGCGTTGTCGTTTTTCTCGTCAGCTTCTCAACCTAAAGTCGATGTCGATGAGTCCAAACCGAAGAACTTTGACATCATTGTTCGAGAGGCAGACGCGCTCTACGACAGCTACCTCATCGACAATGCATACAGTATTCTGAAAAGGTAAGTCTCAGGCATGTAGTACGTTTTGTTTTGCACCATTCTGCCTCTGCAGCTGCTCGCCGTAACTAAAAATGGACTACTAAACCCAGGTTCATGCTTCCGCTCTTGTACTCAAGGAACCATGGATCCTGGTGCCGTCTGTGGGGCGAATGGGTCCGCAGTTACAGTAGCGCGCCACTTTTTCTGTTCAATAATGCACGGAAACAGGGCCAGAGGGTCGTGATACCCATGTGATTCTCCATACTCTGCTAAGGCAGGGTTCAGACTTCGCGACGGTAGCACTTCGATCGCGCGTTCAACGCGATCGATGCAGTCGAAAGCATGCGCATCGATCGCGTCGAATGCGCAGTCGCGAAGTCTGAGCGCTGCCTAATGCTGCCGCACGGCCAGCCACAAGCTCAACTGTAGCTACTCGTCTGCACCACTTCTGGTTGTTCTCTACTCCTGAGTGCGCGTTTTGCAATGGGACCTTGGCATCCACAC